TCAATCAATGTGATATATCATATCAACAGAACAAAGGACAAAAACCATAGATCATTTCAATTGCTGCTGAAAAAAGCATCCAATAAAATTCAACATTCCTTCATGGTAAATACTCTGAAAAAACTGGTTATAGAAGGAACTTGACCTCAATGTGTTAAAAACCTTATATGACAGACCCACAGCAAGTATACTGAAAGCCTTTCCTCTGTGATCTGGAACAAGACAAGGATGCCCACTTTCACCACTGTTATTCAACATAGCACTGAAAGTTTTAGCTAGAGCATTCAGACAAGAGAAAGAAATAAAGGGTATCCATATTGAAAAGGAAGAAGTCAAATTGTCCTTGTTTGTAGATGATAATGATCTTTTATCTAGAGAAACCTAAAGACTCCACAAAAAAACTATTAGAAGGATAAAGAAATTCAGTAAAGTTGTAGGATACAAAATCAACATACAAAAATTAGTAGCATTTCTGTATACCAACAGTTAGCAATCTAAAAGAGAAATCAGTAAATTAATCCGATTTATAATAGCTACAAATAAAATACTTAGGAATAAACTTAACCAAAGAAGTGAAAGATCTCTATAATGAAAACTATAAAAAATTAAGGAAAGAAATTGAAGAGGATACACAAAAAAATGGAAAGACATTCCATGCTTGTGGATTAGAAGAATCAGTATCGTTAAAATGTCCATACTACCCAAAGCAATTTACAGATTCAATGCAACTGCCATCAAAATACCAATGACAGTTTTCACAGAAATAGGAAAAATAATCCTAAAACTCACATGGAACCACAAAAGACCCAGAATAGCCAAAGCCATTCTGGGCAAAAACAATAAAACTGAAGGAACCACATTACCTGACTTCAAGTTATATATACTACAGAGCAGTAGTAACCAAAACAGCATGGTATTGGCATAAAAACAGACACATAGACCAGTGACACAGAATAGAGAACCCAGAAATAAATCTGTACATCTGTAGTGAACTTATCTTCACTGCAATTGCCAAGAACATACGGTGGGATAAGGACAGTCTCTTCAATAAATGGTGCTGATAAAACTTGATATCCATATGCAGAAGAATGAAACGAAACCCTTATCTCTAGCCATATACAAAAATCAAAGTGGATTAAAGGCTTAACTCTAAGACCTGAAACTATGAAACTACTAAAAGAAAACACTGGAGAAACACTTCAGGACATTGGTCTGGGCAATGATTTCTTGATTAATACCCCCAAAGCACAGGCAACCAAAGCAAAATTGGACAAATGAAATCACATCAAGCTAAAATCTTATTCACAGCAGAGGAAACAATCAACAAAAGGAAGAGACAGCCCACAGAATGGGAGAAAATATTTGTAAACTATCCATCGGACAAGGGACTAAAAACTAGAATATATAAGGAGCTCTAACAACTCAATAGGAGAAAATCAAATAATCTGATTAAAAAATGGGCAAAGGATCTCAATACACATTTCTCAAAAGAAGACATACAATTGGCCAACGGGTATATGAAAAAATGCTCAACATCGTTAGTCATTAGAGAAATGTAAATCAACACTGTAATGTAATCTCACTTCAGTTAAAATGGCTTTTATCAAAAAGACAGGCAATAATGAATGTTGGCAAAGATGTGGAGAAAGGGGAACCCTTGTATACTGTTGACGAGAATGTAAATTAGTGCAACCATTACAGAGATCATTATGGAGGTTCCTCAAAAAAATGAAAATAGAACTATCATATGACCCAGCATTTCCACTGCTGGTTATATATCCAAAGGAGGGGGAATCCATATGTCCCAAAGATATCTGCACTCCCATGTTTATTGCAGCATTAGTCACAAGAGCCAATTTTTGGAATCAACCTAAGTGTCCATCAATGGATGAATGGATAAAGAAATTGTACATACACACAATGGAATATTATATAGCCACAAAAAAGAATGAAATCCTGCCGTTTGCAAAAACACGGATGAACTGCAGAGTATTAAGTGAAATAAGCTGGCCAGCCCAGTGGCTTATGTCTGTAATCTTAGCGCTTTGGGAGACTGAGGCGGGAGGATTGCTTTAGGCCAAGAGTTCTAGACCAGCCTGAACAAGAGTGAGACCCATCTCTACCAAAGGGGAAAAAAAAAAAATTCTGTGCCAAGCACAGAAAGACAAATCTCACATGTTCTCTCTCATATGTGAGTGCTTAATATTAAAAACAATTGATCTCATGGAGACAGAGTGTAGAATGATGGCTACCAAAGGCTGGGAAGGATAGTGAGGAGGGGGAAATAAAGTGGGGATGGTTAATTGGTGCAAAAGCTAGTTAGACAGAATGGACAATACTTGATAGCACAACAAAGTTGACTATGATCAACAATTATCCTTTAAAATAACTGAAAGAGTGGAATTGGAATGATCCTAACACAAAGAAATGATAAATGCCTGAGATGATAGATATCCCAGTTACCCTGATTTGATTAATCCACATTGTGTGCCTGTATCAAAACATCACATTTAACCCATAAAGATATGTAGCTATTATAGCCCCATCATAATTTAAAAGAAAAAAAAAATACTGAGGAAGAGTTTTGCCCTAGACATTGATATTTTATATAAATTGAATTGGCTACATTTAAATGGATTGAAGAACTGATTTATCATACCTTTAAAAAGTAATAACTA